GGGTAGAGGGCAAGTTTTTTCTCTCCTACACCCTCATTCATTCTTTCTTTTTTTCATCACACACTTACTGGGCACTTACTACGCCAAGTCATGAGTGACATGTTAGAGATATCAGATTGCCAGTGAAACACAGGCACAGGCCTCAGGAAGCAGAGTGGAGGGGCCAGACATCAAACTGACAACTCCATGGAGAGGTCCGCTTGTTCCCCAGGATCTGGGCCCGTCTTGGTGGACTGAGAGATCAAGGGCTCAATGAGTGATTAAGGGTGTTTTGGGGGAACGCATTCATCTGTGGCAGTATTTGGGCACTGATGGGAGGGGCGCTTCCAGGGCCCACACGGCTTCTGCGTTCAGCGAGGGCCAGCATTTCTGGGCACAGGCTCTCCTCCTGCCACACCGTGCTCCCTATGCTCCGTGGGAGGCACTGCGAGCACTCCCATTTCAGAGACCAGGAAAGAAACTCTGAGAGATGGACTAGCTTGTCTCGAAGAAGAGCTAGAAGCAAACCTCAGGTCTGCCTAACTTCCGAAGTGCTGGGTGTTGTTACAGCTAACGTGTCCCAGCTGCAGAGTGGGAGGCTTTGGTGAAGAAGCTGGTAAAAACTGACCGGCCATTTCACTGGCAGCTCCATGGGACACCATAAACACCAGGTGGCACCGGCAGGGCTGGCAGCTGGGGGCTGCTGGCTTTAGCAGTGGTGGGAGGGGGCTCTGGGGCAGCCATGGAAGATGGTGCTGGTGGTCTCAGCCACCACGGTTAGCAGCCAGCAGTCACATGGCATGGTAGCTAACATTTATTGGGCACTTAGGATGTACCAGCCAGCACTCAAGTGCTTAATATGGATGAATTTACTTAATATTTACAACAATTCCCAATTTACAGACTAGGAAACCAAGGCCCAGAGAGGTAAGGTTACTTTCCCAGGTCAAATGTTTAATAAATGTGGAGCCAAGATTTGAACACAGGCATGTTGATTGCTGGGCCTGTGTGCTTCAGCACCATGCTAGGCTGCCTGTCTTAGGTGTGTTTAAGGGGTAAAATATCTTGAAGTGTGTTTACTGTATTGGTAGTGCACCCCAAGAAAGAAGAGGGCAAGTATGGGGAATTGCAAAAATGCCTATAATACTTTGCAGCTCCTTCTATGAGGACCTGAAGTCCATTTCCTTGCCACTTGAGTTTGGCCTGGCCCTGTGACTTGCTTTGACCAAAAGAATGTGGTGGAAACAAGGGTGTGTCAGTACCATGCCTAGGGTTCAGGAAACCTTGTCACTTCTGCTCGCCCCATCCTTGAAACCCTGGGTCCCCAGGAAGAAGCCTGGGAAGGACAGCCTGCTGGACGAGAAGCATGTGGCCCAGTCCCCCTTTCACCCCCCGCGGACAGCCTGCTAACCACCAGATGTGTGAGCGCGGCCTTCCTAAGCCATCCGGTGACCTGCCAGCTCACCACAGACTCATAGTGAGCCCAGCAGAGCCAGTCTAGACACTGCCCAGCTGGCCCACAGAGACATGAGCAAATAAATACATGTTTATTGTTTTAAGCCACTGGGTGGCTTCTTCTGTAGCGATAAATGCAGCAGGGAATACCTCAAAGAGACAGAGGATATGAATTTGGAGGAACTACCACCAGACAGTGTAGATAAGTAGAAACCCCAAGAGGGATTCAGAAGAAAATGGGTGGAGGCTGGGGAAGAATCTGCCTGGGTTCCTCAGAAACCCAGCGCCCCTACTTTTTCTGGCTTCCACCAGATGGAGGAGTGGCAATACTTTTCTGGAGACAAACTCTGGATAGACTGAGAAGCTGAAAGTGAGAGTACCTTGCTGACTTTGAGAAGAGAATCACGGACCTGCACGGGGTGGCTGCTTTGTAACAGATGCAGTGGGATTGCGTGTTGGGCAGAAAGGGGCCTTCAGACAGCCCCCTGAGCTCTCCCTGGGATCTTGTGTGCCATGGAAGGACCCCAGCTGCCCCCATCAGAATATCAGTGATCCAGGCAATAAGCTGTGTGAGCCTGAACTCAAGTAGCAGCTGTGAGAATGAGAAGACATGGAAAGAGGGGAGAAATGTTTAGGATGTACAAGGGACAAGAAAACTTGGGGCCCGCTGAAGTGGAGGGAGTAGCCACTGCGAGGTGGGGCAGGCTGAAATCACACTGCTGATCAAGGCCCAAAAGACAGCCCTGCGACTAACAATGGAGGTGGGGGCAGTGAGGAGATTAGATGACGCTTATAAATATCATCACCATATAAAATGTACGTATATTGGTATAATTATGACTTATTGCTGATGACAGTGGTGATTTTTGGACACAGCGTACCATCTGCCTTTGTTCTAAAGAGTTACCCTTCCTTGAGGCATTTGAATTTTAAGAAGAACCCAGGCCTGCAGGTAAAGGGATGATGTTGTTTTGGTCAAGTTTCAGGCAGCTCTTGAAAGTGGAACAATGGTTTCCTTTAAGTTGGCCCCGTCCCTGGGCTCTTGGCCTCGGTGTCAGCCATGGAAACACAAAAAGCATTTCTCAGGTCCTTGGTGTCGGACACTTTTAATTCCCTTCCTCCGAAGTTGTCCCCGTGCTTCTCAGATTTGGGGGTCGGCTCTCTTCCTCCCTTTGGAGCGTGGGGGCGGGGAACGACGGAGACCCGCGAGGCCGCCAGAGGGCGCTGCACTGTTGCTGGGCGTGCCACGCCGTCTGGGCGTGTGGCCTGGCCTGGGCATTTTTGTGTTGTTTAAATGCCAGCGTTTACTGCTCACTCGTTTCTCAAACATGTTTCTAATTTACCCGGCATCTCTTCTGCGTGAAAAACTTAAGGAAAACATGCATGCTGAACTTGAGTTCCAGGGTGGGCAATGGGGGTTGACACCGACTGCAGTTTTGTCCAGAAACCTCTGGGACTGTGGCAGAGCAGACAGCAAGGGCTCCCCAAACGCTACTCCCAGGTTAGGGCAGAGGCACACTGAGACAATCACGCCGAACCCGGCGCCTGGAAATGGTCTCGCTAAGAACCAACCCGTCCGCAGGCTCTCCTCTCCAGAAGACGGGATCGTGTCGGGCCAGCCAGATTCGAAAGCTAGTGGCCAAGGCGGACGGTGAGGCGCAGAAACGGCGCAAGGGCCCCGCAGCGGCCCCGCAGCCGCAGCCGCAGCCGAGCGCCAGCGTGCAGCCGTGGCTCTGGCGGGGTTCGGCGCCTCGGGAGCAGGGGCGCGGGGCGGGGTTCAGAGGGCCACGAGAGGAGGGTGGGGAACAGTTCGGGAGTTCTGGGGGTAGTATTGCGGGGCGCAGGGGGGCAAGGAGGGGAAGGCAGAGGGCAAGAGGACAAGGAGGCGGGAAAAGGGAGTCCTGTTTGATGCGGGTGGCGGGGACGGTTCCTCCGGCTTGAGTGGAAACTAACAAGACTGACCGAGGCAAACAGAAGTCATCAGCGAAAAAACCTCAAGACCCATTTGACTGCTGGAGGTCCCTGGGAGAGAAAAGCTCCTAATCCCTGGGGCGAGGGGCTGGGGGAGGTTCTCCGGGGAGTGTTTGATTGGCAGCTAGGTTCTGTTTTTCAGACCAGAAAGAAATCCCCTGTCCCCTGGGGAGATTTCTCAGTCACTTTTCTCCTTCAGGAAGCTGCTTCTTGTTGGAGCCTCCTGGGATTGGCAGAGTTAAAATCCTTTAACCCAGGATGCCTTGGGCCTTTGTTCAGCCCTGACAATGGAATTGGGTGGAGGGGGCTGGGAAGGCAAGTAGCTGGGTCCAGGGCGTATATCCGTGGGGTGGGGGTCTGGTAAAGCTATGTTCAGTCACTGGGTGAAGAAAGCAATTTAGACGTGTGTGTGTGTGTGTGTGTGTGTGTGTGTGTGTGTGTGTGTTGGGGGAGGGTGTGAAAGAGCCCAAGACTCGGGCACCAGTTCGTTAACACATATGTATGAGTGCCTGCTGTGCGCTCAGCAAACTCTTAATTACCCAGGACGGCCTTCCAAAACTGGAAACTCAGTTTTAGTCCCCAAAAGGTTGGGTAATGAGTTTTTCTTGCATCTGGACTCTAAGGACCGATCTCTGACTCCCCTGGGCCCCCAGATTTTTCTAGATGCCTTTGTCTTCTAAAATTCTCTCTCCCACAGGACAACACTGAGTTAAGGACACTCAGAAATACATACCTTTAACCATACTAATCACCCTAAAACCTTTGCTGTGGACAGGGCATGTCCTTGAGCCACAGCTGTCCATAGCACCAACTCAAAGGGCTCACGCCCTCCCCCTACGGAAAGGGTCCGCACCCACTCGCACACGGATCCAGCCTGGCCCCTCACTATCCCTTCCATATACCTGGAATTCCCCAGCCTCCCTCTCTCTGGCCATGCAGTTGCCTTCCTGGGACACCCTCCTCATTCAGTTCTGGCATCAGTCAATCAGCTAACATGTATTTACTGAGAGCCCACTGTATGCAAAGCATGTTCTGGAACCTGGGAACACATCAGAGATCAAGACAAATACCCGGCCTTAAGGATATTATGTTATAGTGGGAGGGAACTGAGTAGACACAAAGCCAAACAATTTTACATGGTGGTAGGTACTGCACGGAAGCTAAGTTAGTGAGGTCAGGCAGGGCTGATGGAGCTGGTGGTGGTGGTGGGGAAGGGTGGCAGAGCTTCATTTAGACGGGGAAGGCCTCTTTGAGGAGGTGACATCGGAGATCTTGTGGATGGAAAGGACGCTGCCCTGTGAAGGTCTGGGGAAGAGTGCTCCAAGCAAAAGGGGTAGTAAGTACAAATGCCCCAAAGCAGAAATGTGCTTGTGTCCAAGGGACAGTATGAAGGCCACTGTCACTGGAGCAATGTGAACAAGTCCATTTGAGGGGCTCTGGGACATGGGCAGGGACTGGATTATCAAGTCCCCATCCGCCAAGGTAAGGACTATGGGTTTTATTTTGGTTGCAATGAGAAGGCTTTGGGGGATTTTAAGCTGGAAATGAAGAGATTTCATCTTCCCTCTAGAGAGATCACTCTGGCTGCCGTGCAGCGCGTGGACGAGGTAGGAGCTGAGGAGGACAGTTAAGATGTGGTTGCAAACATCCTGGCAAGAGGAGATAAAAGCAGGGCTGGGGCTGTGGAGATGGTAAGATGTGGTCCTGGTTTCTGGACCAGTTTTGGAGGTGTGGTACACAGGACTTACTGATGATCTGACCCATGACAAGAGAGGAGTTGAGGATGACTCCGAGGTGGATAAGATGCGTGTGTTGGGGGTGGGGGCAATAGTTCTTTTTGACATGCCAAGACCTATCAGACCTCAGGTGGGTATGTGTAGACGCGTTTGAGTCTAGAGGTCAGGGGCATCTTGCTTTTGGACTTAAATTTTGAGAACCAGCACGCTGATAGTATTCAAATTTGTGGCCTGGATATTTCCACTTATTGGAGTAAAGGTAAGACAGAGAAGGCTGAGACTGCAACCACTCCAAAATTTAGAGATCTGGTGGAGGAAAAGCCAGCACAGAAGATGCTAAGAAGAACAACCTGTGATGTTGGAGGAAAACAAAAAAAAAAAACTGTGATTACAAGGAAACTGAGCTAAGGAACTATTTCTATAAGGAGGATGTATTAGTCCAATGTTACCGGGTAACAAACAACCACAAAAATCGCAGTGGCATTTAACAGTAAATATTTTTTTTATGCATCTGTAGGTGAGCTAGAGGTCACCTACACGTGGCTGACCTTGGCTAGGCAGCTCCAGGCTGCAGTTGAGTCTGAGTCTGTTCTACATACGTCATGCATCATTCTTGCACCAGCAGGCCAGTCTGGGCAGGTTTTTTCCTACGATGATAACATTGTCCAAGGTAGGACATAAAATGCCTCCTAAGGCACAGGGTTAGAACTGACACCATGTCACTTCCTCCTTCATTCCACTGGCCCAAATGGGTTACCTATCCAAGCCCCAAATCAAAGGGTGAGAAAGTGTACCCTACCTGTAGTGGGACGGGCTGTCATATCACACAGAAAGGCATGTGAACACAGGGAGGTGTGACAAGCATTAAGACAATAATTCAATCTACCACAGAGTGATCAAACATGTTCAGTGCCACTGGGAGGCCAGATGAGATGAGGACCATGCACTGGCCCCTAATCTGGTGGAGATGTAGGTCACTGGCATTCTTGCTGAGAGCTGCAACAGAAAACAGAATGCTAAAGATAAATGCCCAGTTGAGTGGGTGGAGGTAAAATGGCAGGTGAGGAAGAGGAGTCTCGGTATAGAGGCAGCTCTCTCAGGAGCATTTGCTCTGAAGAGGGGCGGCAAAATGGTGCAGTAGCCTGACAGAGGTGTGAGGCTAAGGCTAATAATAGGTTTTTAAATTTAGGGGATTTAGTCCTGTTTTCCTTCAATGGGAAAGATCTAGGCGAAAGGAAGAAATTGATGATGCACCGAAGAAAGGGAATACTTGCACTGGTGGAAGGGGAAGGAGCCCAGGGCACAGAGGGGTGCAGAGAATGCAGAGCTGCCAGCTTTCTGGTGGCTTTGGTGGTAGGAAGATCAGACAGTTGGTCTGATTGTACCTATTTTCTCTTTGAAGGATAGTCCAAGGTCAGACTGAGAGTTGAAAGAGGAAGGGGTGTTGAAAACATGCAGAGGAGAGAGTGTGAAATTGTTGCAATGTGGAGAGGGAAAAGGAATTTTCTAAGAAACTGTAGTAGGATTATCCAACAGTTCAAAGCCCATTTGAAATTTATGGCCATAAATTTGAAGCAAGTCCATCCAGAGGAGAGGGGTAATTTTCTGCAGTGGTGTTCAAATGCTCCATTGCAGGTGTGAGGTAAACAATTTGATTTAACCACAGTTGGGTTTTCACCAGGTGAATTCAATGGAGAGAGACCGGTGTAAGGACGTTAAGAGTTTGCAAGGGAACTTTCACAAACTGGATCATGAAATCTTAGCTGGCTGGGAATTGAAGATCTGAGGGGGGTAAATGGTGCAGAAACAGTAGAGCAATGGATTGGAGGTCCTGGGTGGGAGAGCTGGTGGTGGGGAAGGACTGGGGTGAGTTGGAGGGCTGGCAGGTGGTGGGATCTTTGCATCAGATTTTAGAGTCATTGTAGCCATTTATGGTTCTGCTGCCTATGGTACGACCGGGAAGCTAATGGGGCAGGAGAAATATATATAAATAGAATATATATATACATTTCTGTTTATTTATTTTAGGGGGGGTCTGCTGTTCCACTCATTTCTGCATTGAATGGTTGCTTCTTGTATGTGCCCTGATCTTTGCTCGAACCTGCAACCTTGGCATATAGGGGACGATGCTCTAACCAACTGAGCTACCTGGCCAGGTCAGGAGTAACACAGTGCAAAGGCTAAAGCAGTCCAGGGACTTAGAGACCAGGTGTTGGGCGGGTCATCAGTACTGATGCTGAAATCACAAGAATGATGGCAGTGGAAGGGAAAGAGCCCAGTTCTAAAATCATCAAGGGACAGAGAAAGTGACAAGGAGGATGACAAGGTGACCCTAACTAGGAGGAGTGGTAAACTCTGATGACACACGTTCCAAAGGAGCTGGAGTCGGGGAGGTAGACAGAACAGATTAGAAGGTTCAGTGGTGAGACATTGCCAGAACACGAGGCGCATGGCCCCAGGGAGAAGAGAGCCTGTCTTGGAGAGGGCTAGAGGATGGCAGTGCCCTTGGGGGACAGAAGGCTTCAGAAAGAAGGAGGTGAGGGTGCAAGTCTTGCAGGAGATTGAGACTAGAGGCATGGAGTAGGGTTTGGGAGGGTGAGGAGGGGTGGGCATGGGGGCGGGGGTTGGCTAGGGGCTGCAGCAGCCGATAGTGGGCATGTGCCAGGGTGGGATCGCTCTCCCAGGCCATTGGAGGCCCTGGTGGGAGTTTCCGGGAGGCCACACCTGGCCCTTTTGTGCAAGCTCTCAGATTACCCTGGGGTGGGGGTGGGGGGCGGGAGTAGATTTTGTTTCCAGGAACCAGTATAGCTTCGGTTGCTCCCGATTCTCAGTTAGGCCTTATCATCAACTTCCTAGTGTCTTCAGCGTTCTTTTTTTCCACGTGGATTTATTTCCTCAATTAGACGCAAGTTTGGGCAGAACCCCAGCTGCCATTTTGCCAGCTCAGGTCCCACACAGCACCTGACACGTCAAGGGCGCTTCTTCGGCTGGTTGATTGAGTTGGATACAAAGGCGGTAATGGTTTCTCTTTAAGGCCAAGAATGGGGCCGTCAGGGGGTGGGGAAGGGGGGTCTTCTTCACCCCCACGCCTACCCGGGCCAGCTGCCGCGTGCCCGCCCCTCCCCCATGGCCGCAGCGTCTCCACCCGAGTAACCCGACGCCTTGGCCCGCTCCCCCCTCCCTACCCCGGCTCCCAGTGGCCAATAGCCGTGGGCAGAGCCTCCGCCGGGAGCCGCGGGGCTCTGGCGGCACCGCCTCCCCGGCCGGGCTGGAACTGGGGACCCGGCGGCGGCAAAGGCCTGCCTGTCTGCGACCCCGCCAGGGGCCTCCAGCTCCCGTTCCTGGGCTCTCTGTCCGCCCCCTCCACGCTGTGCGGTTCTGCCCGCAGCCAAGCCCAGACACACCCGCAGTCTGTCTCCCCGCCCCTCACCCCGGGGAGACAGAAATGCTAGACCAGGACACAATCAGCAGAAGGCCCTGCTGAGGGGGGCGGGTGCCCTCAAGTTCCAGAAGTCTGGATAATCGAGTTCTAGGCTCCTACTCGGGTCTCTTACCAGCTGAGAGACTTGGGGCAGTCAAGGAATCTCTGAGTCTCTGTTTCCTCATCTGCAAGGGAGGCTAATACCCACCCCCCAGTGAGGGGGTGCTGTGAGGACCCGGCCACGTGAAGGGTGTGAAAGTCCTCCTGCATCAGCCAGAGAACAGCCAAACCCCAGTCATTGAGACCTGTCACCACCTGCCCCTGCAGCAGATGAGAGCTGCATCTCCTACTCACCATCCAGGGAACTCCCTGGGTTCAAAGGAAGCGCCGAACATAGCTTTCCTCAACACCCCAGTCCTGAATTTCCTGCAGCTCCCCACTCCCGAGACCGAAGTCAGCTGCTGGGGTTCAGCAACCCCGGGGGAGGGAGGTGAAAAAATGTGCTGGGCTGGCAGGAGGGAGCAGGCAGGGCACCTCTCCACCTATTTTATCTCCGTGACTTTTCAGGGTGTGGAAAGTGTTATGAGGAAAGCCTCACCGACAGTGCCTTTTTCCTCCTTCAAATGATCACAGCTGTACACTCCTGACAGTACGTCCATAAGCATCTGAATCTGTGCCTTGGATCATGGTACCTGAAAGTAAAGCAAATGAGAGTTCAGGAAATGCCTTATAGAATATTTAAGAAGAGGAAGAGAGGAAGTCTTTGTCAAGGAAGCATTATTTTAACATTTACAGCCTCCCCACGCTCCCATGATGAAAAGACATGGGTTGCCGATGGTGATGAAGACATACAGGGGTCCGCTGAGTTCTTTGCTTCTGAGTCCGTGTCCTGAACAGCCTCCCAGGTTGGTTCCTAGAACCTGCAGCCTCGGCTCCCAGACCCTTTCTCTGCACTGGGCTGGCAACCCTGGAGTGCCTCGCCGGGAAGACAACGTTGCACCGGTAAGCTGCTCTCTCTTCCCCAGGCTTGGACTCCAGAGCCAGGCAGCCCCCTCAGGGCCTCTGCCCCAGATGAATCCAAAAGCAGGAAGTGACCCGGAGTTCACAGAGGGGGTCCTTAAGCAAGGAGAGGGAGAGGCGCCCACCAGCCAGGCCTGATGTTCTGCAGGCTTCCTGAATTCATTTGCTTCCAGACCATTTCAGCCTTGCCAAGGCCTGTGTGAAAGATCAGAACAGCTGAAAATTTCTAGCAGGAAAGCGCCAGGTGCTGAACAGGTCCCAGTTTGACTTAGAAACAGTTAGGGGCTGGGTGGGCTCTTTGGGGTTGACATTCTTGCCTTTGCAGACAGGCAGGGATTGCTCGCGCTTGGAAGGCAGTGCCACTCCTGAGCCTGTGCTGGGGCTGCAGTAAACCCAGGACACAGGGCCGGGATGGAAACTCAGAGCCTCCTTCCTCCCAAGCGCCAGGACCACGACACAAAGGGCCTCCTCTACTGGCCAAGCAGAAGGGGATGGGCTGACTGGGAGGGCCAGGGCTGTCACCCCGTCAGAGCCAGGCGGCTGCAAATGAAACACAGGCCTAGAAGGCTCAGACAGGCACTCAATCTTTCCCAGAGCCAAGAAATCCTGGCTAGAAACTTGACTACGGAGCAGCGAAAGGCACCGGGAAATACTTGAAACCAGGCGAGACCCCTGGTAATGTTGGACTCTTGACAAACAAGGAGCTGAGCCAAATGTTTTCCTCCCTGCCTGGCCCAAACACAGAAATGGAGCTGGCCAGAGAGGACCCAGGGGAGGTGGCGGAGGGACCCAGCAGGAAGAGGAAAGCAGGCAGCGAGTAATTTTTACCCTGCTCAAACCCCAGGGCTCCCATATAGCAAGTGGGTCTGCAGAGGCGGGAGTTCCCCCTTGGCCTTGCAGAAGGCCAGTGTCACTCAGACCCACTGGAGGCTCTTACAAGGGGCTGTGAAAACTCCAGCGTGGCAGCGGGGAGTCGCCAACTCCGAGTGGCCGGGCTGCATGGGTCAGCTTCCATTTGAAGAAGGAGAGTTTGCCAGGGCAACTGCTCAGGGAAGGCAGCTCCAGACTCTAAGAACAAGCTCAGTTCTTACACTGGGGGCTCAGCTTGCTTTATTTTAAATGTATCTGCACAGTAGTATGTTATGGGTAAAACTTACAAACCTACGAAGGAATTTTCTTTTATTCACATTTCTTGTAATGTGTGAAGGGCGTCACCTTTTAAAAGTTCTAAAATTAAATAAAAAAAAGAAAAGATCCTGTGTTGAGGACGGATCCAGTCTCTGTCTTTGTGTCAAGTCTCTGTCTTTGCTGCATCTTGGGGGAATGAGAAATGAGCCGCAGTATGAAGGCTTCTTTCTAGATGCAAAAGTAGAGCATGCTCTATAAAAAGAAACTCAGACAAAAGGTATAAAAGAGGGAGCCAAAACTCACTTCTAATCCCACAACCAGTGATAGCCCTGATATGCTTTTGTATATTTTTCTGCACTATTTTCTGTGTATGCAGATATGAGTTAAAATCACTAATGTAAGAGTAGCCTCAGGCTTCTTTCTGCCCCCGCCCCCTGAAGAAAATCCTGGACTTGTCTGCATGGTTTCCCCTTACTTTTGTCTTCTAGAGAGAGGAGGAATTATTACTTGCGGAGAAGAGCTAAGTAGATGTACATAATAAAGGAAAGAAGTGGGACAATGAAGATGCCCAGAGTAGGGAAAGCCTTACGGACTGGGGGTCAGGAGGATGTTCAGGTCGTGGCGCAGATGAGGCCGTGGAGCCGCGACAGGACACAGAAAACTGGGCCCAGCAGAGTGGGCTTCTGAGATGGGCTGATAGAGCTGTGGCCTGGAGCCCTTTCGATGTTCTCCCAGAGATATGATTAAATAATGGAACTAATTCTGCATCAATTTTGGCTATTAAGCTATGTGTTAAGTCTCTATATAGACTGAAGCCATGGTCTTCCCTCTCATTTACCAGGGTTCCGTGTTTTAAAGATGGGGTCACGCTGTATTTCCTTTTTATATCCTTTTTAAAATAATCAAATTTCATGGTCAAGTCAATAAGTGCAGATATTTGTTATCCTTTTAAACAGCTGCATGGCAGTTCTCCATTTGTCTTCACCATAATTTATTTGACTCCTCCCCTTTTGAGGATCTTTATGTGATTCCGTGTTCATCGTTATCAACAATTACCCAAAGGCTATCTCTGTGTGTATACGTCTTTGCACACTTGCTGAATTTGTCCTTGGGGTATATTCCTAAAAGCCTGACTACATACAGGGTCAGAAGATAAGAACATTCAAAATAGCTCACAGTGCCAAGTGTCTCTCTGAAAAGACTGAACAAATTAACACAACCAACTTCGGGGCTGGATGCTGTGTTCGAATGTAGTAATGCTGGCAAGGGAGGTCCCTGCAGGCGGAGGGGTCGGAGATGCTTTGAGGAGTTGAGCCTTGGCACATGGAGGGGAGAGAGGGAAGGTGTCTTCCAGGCAAGACGTTAAGAAACTCCAGTGAAGCCTCTATGGAGATTACATAGTTTTGCTACCCAGCATCCTTTGCTTTGGCGAATCACCCTTTCCCTGTTCCGCAGTAACCCCTTCAGCCCATGGCCTCACACCTTTGCCCTTACCTCCATCCTGGGCTGGCTGCAGGGGAGACCGACCACAGGAGTGAGGAGCCAGGTCAGTCAGAGGTCTCCATACTCTGGCCGGGATGCCTGGTCTAAGGACTGATACGTGACCAACCAGGGAGAAGTCTCCTCCCTTGCCCACTGAGCATAATGTGACACCAGAGCTGGCAGGGGCCCTCTCCTCCCACGGTGTGAGGGCCGCCAGGATGAACACTGAGCTGAGACATGGAGGCAAACCTTGACAGCATCGCTGAGCCCCAGGATCTCACCAGGACTGAAGCCAGCAGGCTGTATTCTGGACTTTTTGTTTGCATGAGCCTATACATTCTTTTTGTCTCCCCCTCCTCCCTTAATTGTCATTACACTTTATTTGTTAAGCATTGAGTTGTTTCTTTTTTGATTGAGGTAAGTTTCGGATAACGTAAAGTTAACCATCCACCATTGGAACGTGCGGTGCCGTGGCACCGAGTACATTCCCAGTGTCGTGCGGCCATTGCCCCGTCCAGGTTCAAGACGTCACTGTCGCCCCAGAAGGAAACCCCTTCCCATCGAGCAGTCACTTCCTATCCCCTCCTTCCTCCCAACCCCTGGCAACCACGATCTGCCTGCTGTCTTCATGGCTTTACCTGTTCTGGAAGTTTTGTATAAATGGAATCATACAGCGTGTGGCCTCTGTGTCTGGCTTCTTTCATTTAGCATGATGCTTTCAAGGTGCATCCATGGTGCAGAATGTTTAAGTACCTCATTTCTTTTACGTGCTGAGTCATATTCCTCCATATGGATATACCTACCACATTTTGTTTGTCTATTCTGATGAACAGGTAAGTCGTTTTACCTTTTGGCTGTTATGAATTCTGGTGTTCTGAACATTCATGCATAGTTTTGTTTAAATACATGTTTCCAATTCTTTGGGGCATATACCTAGGAGTGGAATTGCTGAGTCATATGGTAATTCTGTGTTCATATATTCCTTTTCTAGTTTGAGCTAATGCGAAGAACCCACTCCGTGTGGGAAAGATGGGAAAGAAACCCATCTTTCCTGAGCAACCAAAGGCGTCTGGCCTACTCAGTCCTGAGGACAAACCAGCATGGCCAAAGCAGCGAGCAGCGAAGAGAGCCTCCTGCCTGTAGAGAGTGGGCAAGTGGTGGTGGAGACAGGGAAGCAGAGCAGGGAAGAAGCGCATCCTTGGGTGGGAGTGCCTCATGCAAAGGGATTTTCTGGACAAGTAGCAGAGCTGAACTGTCTGGAACACCCCTGCAGAAGAGGAATCGTAGAGCAGCTGCTTTGGCAACCCAGTCTGTTAGAGGAAATGCCCCCTCCTTCCTCTTTCTCTTTTTCCTCCCCTTCCTGCCAGTGCCTGTGCAGAGAGGAACCAACAGGGAGTAATCTGGGTGGGAGAGAACACATTTTTTCTTTTAAACAAGAAGGGTTTGTTTTACTCTGTGCCTCCCATAGCTCTGACAGGGATGGATTTCTGCACCGTGAGGAGTCGCAGGGCAGCCGCCAGGACCGTGTTTGAGGGTGGCCAGCCACCTTTAGACCTGCTCACTCTGCCGGGTCTCCAGGTAGAGTGGAGCCCTGGCCCTGCTCAGAAGAGAAACCATGGGGGCCTCTGCTCCTGGTCCTTTGTTCCCACTGTCCACCCTCTCTGTACCCCTGAAGGTGTCAGTCGATTCTGCAAGAATGACACCAGGACTGTTGACACAGAGCCAGGTCTCTGCTCACTCTGACCAGACATGGGTTGAGATTTTCCGGAGTCAGTGTCTTCCCCACTGTGGAATGTACTGCAGGTAGAAAGCGATCCTATTGAAATCTCTTCATGTTGAGCATATTCTGCTTGTGTCATTCTGGGCAAACTCCTGCACAATGGAGGAAGAACTGGGTGGGGGATCAGGGGCCTGGGCATTGGAAAGAGTGATAGCCTGAGGCTCCTGACCCTGAGGAGCATGAAGCTCAGTGGAAGAGAGAGACTCGTAGCAGAGGAAACCAATGGCAGAATAAAAAAGTAGACAAAATTACAGTGGTAGGGAAATTAGGGTTTTGATCCCTCCTAGTGAATATTTATTTACTTAGTTTGACAAATGTTTTTAAAATTTAATCAAAATAATACCTTCACATAGTCTGGGAGCTGAGACTTCCTACCAACAGCCAGTACCAAGTTGCTAGCCAAGTGAGGGAGTCCATCTTGGAAGTAGACCGTCTCACCCCAGTGAGGCCTTGAGATGATGCAGCCTCAGCTGAAGTTGACTTTAGTAAGAGACCCTGAACCAGAACTGTGAAGCTAAATTACTCCTGAATTTCTGATCCACAGAAACCATGTGAGATAATAAATGTTTATTGTTGCTCGAAGCAGCTGAATTTTGGGTAATTCATTACACAGCAATAGGGAAATAATACATAATATCTGCTATTATTGTTCTTTTGGGTCAGTACCCTGGGCAAAGAAGTGGGAGAAGGTTATCTTCTGACCCAGGAGTGCTGTGAACTGTATTAATAACTGAGGACACCTTGCTCCTAGATAGTGTATAACGTGATGCACGGAGGACCATCTGGACAAGTTAGAAAGCTTCCTTTGAAATGGTTTCTCATCCATCTGAAATGTGCTTCCGAAGCCAGTGGTCTCCGGGAGGAGATGCCTGCACTGACAGACCTCCCTCGCAGATGACCTCAAGTTCCCAGGTGACAAGGATCAAAACGAGAGTTACAAGGCTATCGATCTAATGCAGTTCCCACAGTTACGAGTTGACTGAGCACTTTCATTAGGAAAAGCAGTCACAGCCACAAGTGTATTTGAGGCTGGCCCCTGTCTCCAGCCTGTGGTGGCTCAGCCCTTCCCATGCAAACACAGTGGAAACCTCTGCAGTGTCTCCCGGTGAAACTGGCTTCCTTCCCTGTCACCAGGAGCTGGAGGGAGCTGCGGGGCCCCTGACAGCCGCATTTCATCAGCTAATGTGAGCTCATGTCCAAGAAGTCCCCACCCTCTCTCCTCTCAGTACCTGAGATTCTGGGAAATCAGCTCTATTTTCAGCCTCTGGGCTTCCTTGTCATCACAAACACTGAGCTCCTCGGAAACAGGTGGCCACAGAGGAGCTGAAAAAGAGGAAGATAAAGTAAGACCCACACAGCCCCAGAAGGAGATGGTTCTCAGCCTACAGACTCCGGAAACCTTTGTCAAAAACCCCCTCAGTAATAGCCCCTTGGAGACATCTACCGTAGTGGGGAATGTGTTTGGTAGGGTTTCTCTCAGTGACAAGGGTCAGCCAACTGGGGCCTCCTTCCTCGAAAGAAGTTTGATATAAAACACTTTAAAACTTTAAAAAGGGTTTTTACCCTTCTGTGTTTTTTCCCCCTGCCTATTCCATTCTTTTTGACCTTGCTGCTAGAAACAGACCTTAAGTTCAGCAACACCTTTCTCCCTGTGGCTCTAAGGGGAAGCAGTTGAAAAGTGACCACTTGTCAACTGTCCCATATCCCTTGGGAAGAAAGAACACAGAACTTGAGTTTGAACCACTGAAGGACCAAGTACTTACAAGTATTTCCACTTCCAGCCGAGGCCCACAGACAATAAAGAGAACAAGTCCGGCCAGCAGGTTATTTTAAAGTCTTCACTTAGCATTTGATGAAGGATCCTTTTGGATTTACAATTAAAATTGACTTCCAATTCCCACTGGAAATTGAACATGCCCAGAGGTTAAATGAAGAAACCAACATTGAAACAGTTAAATCTCAGTTTCTTAAGAATAACTACTGTCTGTGTGGATGGGAGGGCACTTCCCTAGTCTCCTTGGCCTCCACTCCTGTCCTCTTTGAGTGGACAATGTCAATGCCATAGCTGAAGGGTGAAACAGTGTTTAAGGTGTCCCCAGTAGCAACTTTAGACAAGGCTGTCTATGAAAGAAAAGCAAAAATGAAATCAAAGTAAAATACTGCCAATGCTTCTATTGCAATTTGCATAACATTACCCATAATGATTTGTAATTTACATTTAAAGCTATCATTTTTGCCAGACACTTTGACTTTAAGTAAGTGTCTGTTTCCCCAGGGGGCTGTGGCAGCTTTGCCTGGCATCCCGCAGAAAGATCCAGAAGGGGGCTCTCTGCCCCGGAGTGAACCCCCCCCCACCACCACTCTCCGGGCAGCAGCCCCACTGGCCAGAGGCCGCCTTGGCATGAGGCTGCCTTGGTTCACGCTTCACATAGTCAGTGCTTTGGGGACTGTCATCCTGCCTGGGGCTGTAAGCTACCACCTTCTGTCTTCTCCCACTTCTTTCTACATAGAAGGAATTGAGTATCTTACATCCTTCCTTCGATGCCCTGGGACTGTCTGATAAATGCACTAAAACATCATCTCTTGGTCCCTGACATCTGGGAGTCTGCATGTGCTTAAAAATATCAAGAAAGCTCCCAGAAGGACTGCTTACAGAATGAGAAGTTGAATGTATTCTGATTGGATTCCCACCTCACTAGCCCCACACACCTTTAAGTGACAGGAGACGGAAGAATGACAGGGGTGACCACATAATAGTCTCGTCCTTTTGTCAGAGGCTGAAAGCTACTTGGAGCAAATAAGCACACAGAAATTCAATCAGAATGGAAGAACAGACAGAAGCAAACTGAGGGGCAGGCTGGGGGCTATTTCTCCCCAAACAACACACATTCTACGCACTGATAGGTATTAATATAGTTAAAAGAAATAAGACATTTACATAAAGTACATAGCCAGTGTCTGGCACATACAGGGTGGGACAAAGTAGGTTTACAGTTGTTTGTTTGGAAAATAATACAGTAATTAAAAATAATTCAAGAATAAACTATGTGTTTCTCCTACTCACAACTGTAAGCCCAGTTTTCCCCACCCTGTAGTGAGTGTATCAGGTAGCTCCATCCAAAACTTTGTGGTTTAAACCAACAGTCACTTAGCTCATGATTTTGGAGTTCGGCATACTTAAGCTGGCTCACTCACGCTCTGAGCACAGTCACAACTGGCAGGGGGCTGGTTGGTCTAGGATGGCCTCAGCCGGGGCAGTGCCTGTGTCCCACGTGGTCCCTGCTAATCTGGCTGGCTAGCCTGGCCTGTGCACATGGGCGAGAGAGAGAGAGAGAGAGAGAGAGAGAGAGAGAGAGGGAAAGAGAAGTAGGCACATTCTCTTGAGACCTAGGCTCAGAACCACACAAATAACACCCACCGCATTCTACTGGGCAAAGCAAGTCACTAGGGCTGCTCTTGGTGGGAGGGAATGCAAAGTCATCTTCAAAGCAGTAAGCATAAGACACTGGTGAAGGATTGTGGCCATTTTTGCAATCTACCATTGTAGGTACCAATAAATTCTAAGTGTATTTAGTTTTTCAATCACTTCTGAAAGGAATTATATTAACGTGTCAGTTACCAAGCCTAAGGTGAAAAGATATGTTAAAAAAGAAGCCCATCAGACTGGTAAAGAAAGTCAAGAAAGGGTGACTGAACCTTTGTTCATTGTTGTCCCCCAACATTCAACCCCCACCTCTGCCTCGAGTCTTTCCCCTGCCCCACTTCCCCTTCTCCTTGATATGAGAACCTGGCTGGGCCTTGCCCCAGCCTCGAGTCCTTTCCCCAAGACACTAGTGTGTGGTTAAGGAGATTTTCTCCATCTTCCAGCTCCCCATCTAGCAATTCTATTCCCTCACAAGCTACTCGTCCTCCAGGAAGAGTCTTTTCAGTCTCCCTGGGCAGAATGAAGTCTCTGCTCCATGAGTCAGGGGCGAGTTACTGGAACTGAAATGTTTATTGCCCTCTTATCTAGGACTGAGTAAGTGGCCAGTGTCTATGAGATCATCCTGTTCCTTGAGATGGCTGGATATTTGGAGACAAGTGTGATGAAACCCAGGCTTTGTTTCAATGTGCACCAACTGGCTTCTGTCACATTCTCAGGTGAGAAGAATCTGTTTAGCAATTTCCCTTCAGGAGTAGGAAAGTTATCCCCTCTTTCTTCTGATTCCCACCACCAGTGGCATTACACACACATACACAATGCACTCACGGGAGCTGCATTGTCCTGTTTCTTCAGCAGAGCCGACAGTGTTGCTTCTCCATCCTCAGCTCCCGTTTCAATAGCCACCTTCCAGCTCAGGGTGAACACGTGACACCACACTGACCCGTGACTGCAGGCAAAGTCAGCCAAGTGAGATTTCTGGGAAAGCTTTTTTTCCTGACTTAACAAAAAATAATAATAAAATAAAATGACTGATAATCTCTTTGCCCATCCTCCTCCTTCCTGCCTGGAACATAGATGTGAGGCCAGGAAGTGCAGCAGCCATCTTATGACCATGAGGATTAAAGTCATGAGCTGAGAATAATAGAGCAAAATAACAGAATAAGCCGGGGTACCTGATAACTTATTTAAGCAGTTGCACCGGCCCTGGGGTTATATAAGTTAGTTTAAGTCACTGTTGTTTGGATTTTTCTTTTATTAACAGCCAAACAAATTCTTTACTGAGTATTTCTAAAAAAAGTCTCAGCAACAGATCAGTCAGAGAAAGTGTCCTTTGAGTTGCAACTGTAACATGCTTGAAAGGAAAATAAATCAGTATCAAGGAGGGTTGGGATGCCATCACCTGAATCTTATTATTATATTTTATCAAGTCTCAAATGCCATTGGTGGTACGATGCAGCGTTATGTATATATGCAGTTTTATGCATCACTATGAAAGAAAAAAAGGATCTCAGGACATACCACTAAAGGCAAGGGGGTATCTACTTTGATTTCAGAGATATTTTTTTTAAGATTTTATTTATTTATTTTTAGAGAGGGAAGGGAGGGAGAGAGAGAGAGAGACAGAGAGACAGAGAGACAGAGAGAGACAGAGAGAGAGAGAGAGAGAAACATCAATGTGCAGTTGCTGGGGGTTATGGCCTGCAACCCAGGAATGTACCCTGGCTGGGAATCGAACCTGGGACACTTTGGTTCCCAGCCCGCACTCAATACACTGAGCTACGCCAGCCAGGGCTTGATTTCAGAGATTTTTAAATGGGGGCCGGGGCATCTTAGAATCAGTGAAATATGGCATGTACTCTTCCTTGATTATTGCCTGCTGTCCCCATTAAGTCAGAGACCCACACACAGCCCTGCTCTTTACTGAGTCCTTCACACTCGGAATTGGGCCTGGCATGGAGCAGGCTTCATAAATATTTCTTATTCAATGAATCTGGGAACTACTCCCCAGCTTTCCAATAACTTCCCATGCCAGCCACCCTGGCTAACAAAGCATTTCCCTTTCTCTGTGCCTTATTTCTCCATAATGTAGTTTCACTGAAACTTACCAGACAGAAGAAAAAACAGCTCCACATAAATGCAAAGTGGACCCACACTCTGCGCCACCAAGGTGATGCCTCCTGGTGCCTCAGGTGGAGGAGGGAGGCCTCATCCAACACCATTCCTAGAAGTACCTCTTTCCCCAGAGCCCAGTTCCTTCTAAGGCTCTGGGATTAACTCTTTCCAGACAAGCCTTCTTCAGTATTCTGTCTGAGTTACTAAATGTGCTCCCTGCAAATGAACAAGGGCCAGGGAAATATGCAATTTCCTTTAAGCAAAGAGATGGTGTTTTGTAACTTACCTGAATTTCTCCAGGAAGTCCACATGCCTGTGTGTCATTGTCACAAAATATTTCTAAGTAGCCTCAGCCTGCATCTCTCAGAGGGATAGTCTTGTCTAACCAAGATCACTGGCTGCAAAGGAGCAAGGCTATCATGCTCCTCTGCCACACTAGTACCGTATTCAGAAATAATACAAGGATAATAGTCATAACTCACACACAATGAGTGATGAACTCTTGGCATATAGTCCCACATTTAAGCTTCAACAAAAACTTGCCGGGTAGGAAGTCTCATTATCTCCTTTTTACAGGTAGGGAAACTGGGGCATGGACATGTTTAGTCCTAGTGAGTAGAAGGGTCTGGCTTTGAATTCAGGTGGGGTAGCACCAGAGTCTCTGCTTGGAACCATTATGCTCTAGTGCCTTACAATGCCCTGCATAGGTACCTAGTTGATGCCAGGCTCTGGGCATGGCACTGAAAAACAAACAAGAATTGAGCCCAGAACCTGCCTTGAAAGAAATTCATGCTACTGGGGAGAAGACAGACCTGCTGGTAGAGATGGGTATGCAAAAGATCATAGGAACACACAAGAAAAAAAGGGCCCATGCTTGAGGGCAATCAAGGAAAGCTTCACAGAGGAGGTAGCTTTGAGCAGGGCATTGAAAGGAAAATAGGAGTTTGCTAGATAGGCAAAACGAAGGCAGGGCATGTCAGGGGGCAGAAGCTTCTTGTAGGCTGGATTTGGGGAAAGGGAAGAGGCAGAAGGCAGGTCTAAAAATAAGGGAAAGAGTTCCCTGGTAAGGGAATTTTTCTGCCTTGCTCAGGGAGCCAGAGAAAGATTGAAACAGTGGAGGGACAGGCTTGTTTTGCATTTTAGAAGGAGCCCTTAGTTTCACAGGGGTGACAGTGGGAGAAAAAGAAAGAGAAGCACCCGGGTGGACTGTCAGTTTCACACTCCACCACTGTGAATGGCGGTGTGAGATGAAGGGTCGACAGGCGTGTAGACAAACTTTGGCTTCCAGTATAGGAGGGAATGGTCATCCATGATTACTGAACTCTCACACAAACTGGATAGGCCTTCTACA